TGTGCAAGGCCCGGCCATTCCCAGCCTTTGATCCGTAAGTTCCCCCTGCCTTTATCCGCAGGGAATGGATGACTCTATCTTGTGTAGGGCGCCCCATGAGGGCTCTGCTTTTCCTTCCTGGTGTGGGGAATGGGCTGCTGGCATCTCAGCAGTAACAGTCCTTTGTTCTGCGGGTTCCTCCTGGTCTGGCTGCTGGGCTGATCAGCACAGCAGTCTCCGAACACAGCCTCCTCCTCCATTAGGAGGTGGACTGGGACTGAAGTGTCTCGGTGGTGATGACGATGTTGGTGAAGGCACCGGTGGGGCTGGGCTGGTGACAAGGATGGTCGCGTGGCAGCGACAGGGTGGACTGTGCTGAACAGGCTCACAGAACACAGCAGGGATGAGGGCCGAGACTGAGGAGTGAGGGCGGCAGCAGTGCAGGACCGAGGACTGTGACAGTGGTGGTGACAGTGTCATGACGGTCAGACATGTGGCACTAGTGCTGTGGCGACGCTGGCATGTGTTGACAGCAGTGCCGCCGGCGATGGTCATCATTGTGGTCACACTGTAATCCGGAGGCAGTGATGGGGAGCATCGTGAGCAGGGATGGTCACGATAGGACGGTGGACACTGTGACATGGTGCGTGGAGGAAGATAAGGGGAGACGGAGAAGGGAGAGGAGGGGAGAACCCAGAGCGCAGACGTCAGCAGCTGTGAAGGCACAGGCTGCCCTCCCCTGGGGTCTGTCAGCCAGCAGGCCCCAGGAGAGTAGAGACTGCAGCATGACGTGGAAGTTAAGGAGGTGGGCACTGTAGTTCACTTGGATTTGAACCCTGCGGTGTGGGACCTCAGATAAGTCGCTTAACTCCTCCAAACCTCTGTCCCTTCACATGTAAAATGAAGCTCATAACAGCGTCTACTTCCTGGAGTATGAGGGAAGCCACACTGTGAAACGCATGGCCCAGTGCTCGGATTCAACACCACTGGTTATCGTTACCATTATCCACGGCCACTGTGGACAAGTACACGGAGCTGCTATAAAGGGTTAGGTCCCCAGGATTTAGGGGTGGAGGAGGTGACAACAGGAGGCTCCCCCATCCCAAACCTCGCATGCTCTCAAGGCCATGTCTGCGGGGACACATCCAGCAGTGGGGACCCTGTACACAGGCTGCCCCTGGCTGGGGATGGCAGAGGCAGGGTCTGCACCAGAGCTCCTGAGTGCCCCTCCTGCTCGCACGACCTCTGAGTCTGACCCTAGCCCTCGGGAGACTCCGTGATCTACTGAATCACTTTTTATTCCAGTTCTACTGAAGACTGCTGGCACCGCTCTGAACAACCAGGTCCCACAGCTTACAGCTGGACAGCTCAGATGCCCCCAGGGGAAGCGGCCAAGTGGACTGAGACCAGCAGCAAGAGTGGGGGCTGGGGAGTAGCAAGGTCACGCTGCCCCAGGAGGCAGGGCAGGCCCGGTGCTGCCATATCTTTTCCAAGACAAACTGTAAATCTGGACCTGAATCTTCAAGAGAAATCTGAAATATGAAATCTCTTAAACGTTGGCACCTAACGTTTAAAAAGCAACGCATGGCCCAAACCAAGCCTAGCTGTGGGCAGCATTCAGCCCAAGCGGGGCTGAGCTGGGTGTCTGGCTTTAGAGGTAGCTTCTCCTTTGGGGCCCAGCAGCTTTTCTAGGGAGCTGCAGGGAGGTAGAGCCCGGGCCCACGGGCTCAGGACCCCCGCCCTCCCTTGCCCTCCCAGTGCCACCAAGGCAAGTATATCTGCAGCATGGGGAGGGGGCCATCCCCCTACTCTTGCTCAAGACCTTCTGTGGAGCCTCGATTCCCCTGCAGCCTCTCAGTTCTGCTGGAGGTCAAATTCTCCCTCCCCTCTGCTGCCCCTCCAATGAGGCAACAGCTGCCTGCTTCAGTGACAGGAAGTGGGAACCTTCACACAGCGCACCGCTTAACGACCATCAGTCTGGGGAACGTGGTGTTGGATCACGTGGCAGCGAGACCATCCCAGGCACTCCTCGCACAGCCGCTGCACACCTGCTGCACACCTGCACACCTCACATGGGCCGCCCATCCTTGGCTGAACATCGGTATTCAGGCACGGCTATCTGAATACAGCGCTGCTTTGTGCACAGGAGCAGATGTGGGGGGCGAAGCAGGGCAGCCCGAGGGCCCTGGGAATCCTGTGTCACCAGGCCAGTCAGCTCTGGGGGGCGAGGGATGGACTGAGTTACTGGCTCAGGTGGGGTGGTCGAGGGAAGGCCTCTCCGAGATGACATCTGAGCTGAAACCCGAAGGGTAAAGGCACCAGCTGGGAACCAAGCAGGGAGAAGGAATTCAGAAGGGACAGCAAGGGACAAAGCTCTAAGGGCGGTCGGTGGGGACACGCAGCTGGTGTGGCAAGCACAGTGATGGAGGGAGGGCAGATGAGCCAGACACGGGCATGGGACCACGTGGTGGCGGGAGGAGCAGGGCCTGTGGGCTAAGCCCCTGTGGACCCCCAAGGCAGAAGGGCAAGGCCTAAGTTGGAGAGCTCCCTCTGGCGGCCACGTGGAGAACAGCCTGCAGGGGACACGAGCTTCGCAGCCAAGACCTGTCAGGAGTGGTCGCAGGTGTGGGGCTTGGAGGTGACTGCAGCTCAGACCGGGCACTGACAGGCACTGACAGGGACTGGAGCCTGGGCTCACATGAAGTCCTATTTGAGAGGGGCAGCTGGCCAGACCCGCTGGCGCTGGACAAGGAAATGAAAGGAATCTGGATGATGCCTTGTTTTCACCTCGAGCGTCAAGCGTCAGCCTGGGTCATTCTGCCATCTCTTTATTCAGCAAGTATTCACTGAACATCTGTGTGCCACGCAATGGGCCAAGCCTTCGGGGGCCAGAGATCCAGAACACAGGGTTCATGTCCTCAGGGAGCCGCCCTCTATGACCTGGGCTTTCTGTGACCACTCCCCTGAAGTTGCAGACAGGAAAAAAGGGAAACGTGTCCCACAAATGAAAAATCCATCTGTCGAGTCAGCAAACATTTACTGAGCACCTACTATGTGCCAAGCACAGTCCAGGAGTGAGCAAGTCAGACGAGGTTCCTGCCATCACACAAGCTTCTAGGGAGCAGAGAGGAAATGAACATTTTTCAAGTGAAATGTTGTACTCTAGGAGAAATGAAACGAGAGGAGAGGCATATTAGAGCTTCCATGCCAACTGGGAGGTTCCAGGAAGTGACGGAGGGCTCGGGCCCGAAAGAGGCGAGGGTGCGACCATGCAGAGAGAGCCTAGTGACACAGGCGGAGAGCAGGAGGGAGTGAGGGCACAGCGGGAGGGCCCAGAGTCACCATCGGGGCCTGTGCCCCATGGAAGGACTTTGCATTTCGCTCTGAAAATGGGGACCCATCAGAGGGTCCAACTTGCGGAAGGCCACTTCCCTCAGCTACTCCGCCACCTTCCCCACATACCCAGCAACCCCCCTGAGTCCCAGAAAGGGCCAGACACAGCCACCCACTGTCATAGCTTTCCTAGCTCACCACCTCCCTGGGGCTGGCAGTGTGTGTGATTTATAAGTCCCTCCCTGGGACTGTGTATCTGGGGGCATCTGCTCCATTGTCATTGCTTCTGGACAGGGCCTTGCTACTCCTTCACAGATGAAATCACTGCCTCCATCCTGCTAATGAAAACAGCTGGTTTCCATTCACCAACTCCCCCCCCCACCCCACTCGAATTGCCAAGGGAAGAATTATAAATAAATGTGTACAAGCAAACAGATGCTGTCATTTAAAAAATTGATCCATCCAGCAAAAATGCCCCACTTAGGACAGAAGCGGCAGACTGCGGAGCACTCATCTTGGTGGCGTTTTTTTAATGAAATCAGACAAACAATGGGGTAGCTCACTAATAAATTCCAAAGAAGTGAATGGCCAAGGACACGGGGAGGGGCAGGGATGCAGACTCACTCTGCAGCTCCAGCATCCAGGACCCAGCGCCTGGAAGAGACGCGGGCTCTGCTGCTTTTCTGGACAAGCTCCTCCCACCTTCCTGCCTCTTCAACCCATCCGGACACCAGGTCAAACTCACTCGTTAGTGCTGTGGGAGCCCCCGACGCGGTGGTGACCCCACTTTGTGGTTTCCAGGAACCGTGATGCAGGCCAAGTGTCGTCCTGTGTTGTCCCACGCAGCCAGACCACCCCCCCAGCCTCCCTTGTGGCCAGGTTTAAACTGAGAGGCCACTGGAACCGGAACAGAAGTGACCACCGTGGGCCTGGCCCATAAAAATCTCCCACGTGACCCGCCCCCATCTTTCCATTAACGACTAAAGGAAGAAGACTCCGGGACCCCTGCAGAGGGTGGTCCCTGAACGGCCGTGTGGAGCGGCACTTCCTGCCGTCTGCACTGGGATGTGACAAGATGGAGACATAAACTTACTGCGTCGGACCGAATTTGGGGGCAGTTTGTTACTGGAGGGAGGGACCTTACCCTGATGAATGCGCAAGTCTCGGAACGTCTTCTTCATTCACTGAGTAGGTAATCACGACAACAGGATCTAATTACCTCCTTCAGATATCATAACAGTCTGGTGTGATGCAAACATGAGTCCATCTTTCAGAAGGACGCCTAGCTGATAACGGTGACAGCTATGACTTATTGAAAACTCACCTCATGCCAAACACTGCTAATTGCCTCCTTCTTACAGTTTCTTATTCCTCACGAAAATTCTCATAGGCACAGTTACTATTTCTATTTCACAAAAGAGGAAACTGAGGCTTAGAGAGGTTATTCAACTTGCTCAAGAGAGGGAGGGTGGGAGGAGTGAATGAAAGCAGTAGGATTCAAACTAACAAGCTAACACTGCCCATGATTTCACCCAAGAAGGAGTCTCTAATAATAAGCTAATCACATTGCACCTTAAAATACCAGCTTACCCCACATCGGGCCAGCCCTAGAAAGCAGAAGAGCCACCCCCCCAACTCCCGCCCCACCCTGCTGAAAGGTTAAAACCATTACATCGAAATAAAACATATGGCCATCCAAATCTGCATTTATTACATCTAAATGGAAGAGACACAGTCAAGTACATGAATATTTTAGTAGTTTCCAACATGCAGATCACTGTGCCAAGATCCACCACACACCCCTCAGCTCATGCTGGCTTCTAGGGTGCTCGGCTGGAACAACACGCCATCCTTTCCCTCTTGGCTTCCGTGTCGAGTGGTCCCTCATTCTGAGTCAGTTACCATTTGCTTCTGCCTTTAAATGGCACCCCACAAACAGAAAGACTTCAAAGCTCCCTCTCACCGGGTTTATACCCTTGATTAGTGTCTGGAGAACACTATAGGCAAAGACAAGCTATTTGGCTCTAAAATCAAATGGAAAATTCAGATCTCTTCACGTAATCTCTGACTAATCGGCTTTAATGAAGAGATTCTGGTGACTGTTGTTTAAGCCACGGGACACACACAGAACATAACAGAGGGTTATGTTCTGGCCAATTCCAATGGCTGCCAGAACTCCCACGCAGAGAATGAGATGAGAACACAGTAGCCGTAATTTCCCCAAACGTTCATCATTTGTGTCCACGCCCTAAGGATGACTGGGTATCACTTAGCGAATTCTTCACCTGTTTTTCTTTGAACCAACTCACGTTTTTTGGTAAATTTTGCATCGTTATGTAAATGAAAACCCAGTAAGAGTTGATCCTGGGAGTTCAAAGGTCTGACGGACGAATGTTGCACATATGATGTGTGTTGGCACAGGGCACGCTTCCCTCCGTCACCAAGTTCCAGGCAGAGGGAGGCAATACTGTCACAATAGGAGATGAGGGGTGAGAGGGCCACTCATGGACTGGTAATCTTCCACACACAGTCACATGGCCCTGCCTACGTGCAAGGGGACTGGGGACTGTGGGGGAGCACGTGCACTCTGGTCAGCAGCAGACGTCTCTGCTCAGAGGGTAACCGCCCAGGTAAATGCAGCAGTAAGACAACATGATCAGAGTCTATCCAGAAGGCTGTGCTGTAAGAACCTCTGGCCGGAACATTAAAAAGGGAAAGAAATGATCAAGTGTTATAAATGTGTTGAAGACACTCTGCCCCCAGGTGAGAACTCAGAAGGCGATGACTCTCACAAAGTGACTCAGTGCTAATGTGTCAACTGCGATCATCCTCAAGAAAAACCAAGCTAGGGAGAGAGTTTCTCTGAAACAACCCAGAAACAGGGACAAGGACGTTTGAGTGACATAAGAACCCTTGGTGCACAACAGTGTCTCTGATGTGACAGATGGTATTTTCCAAAGATAATGACACCAAGATATCCCATCTCATAAGTCCTCACATGTGACATTGACGGATCTCCACCTAGAGGTGGAGGAGTCTGTGTCCTCTCCCCTCTGTCCTGAGTGGGCCTGTGATTACAGAGGAAGTGACCACCATGACTTTCCAGGCTGTATTTTAAAAAGGTGATACACACCAGTATCAGCAAAGAGCACACCTAATGTCGGGTCCTGGTCTCTAACACCATTGTCCAATAAAAGGGCTCCCTGGAGAAGTGGCTGATTCCAGGCTGGGGAATCACATACACACAGACACACGGGGAAAGGAAAGAGACATGGACCCAACCTGAATGATCTCCCAATGGCCAAAGCTGGAACAATTCCAGCGACAAAACATATAACACGCCAGTGGATTATAAACCGAAGTATAAAACAAATAACCATGAGTAAATACGGATAAATCGATGATCGCATATGTAATAGGGGAGAATGAGCAAATGTGTCATGCAGAATAATTCCAAATAATTAACGTGGATTCTCTGCCCCCCGGAGAGCATAAACTGCACAGTGACTTCCAGAAAACACAGTATGAAAAAAGCGGGAAAGGGTATCTTTACAGTGGGGAACCCTCAAGACCAGATCAGTCACCTGGTCAACATGAACGTCAACAGTGAGGTCACGCTGGTGGTATGTACTTTGACGTGATCTGATGAGGACATTTCACCCCTAGGGTCAAACCCAAACCCCAGCCTAATCATGAGGAAAACACCAGAAAAATCTAACTGAGGTACATTCTATAAAATGCCTCAGTCATACTCCTCAAAATTGTCAAGGTCATCCATTAAAAGCAAAGTATGAGAAACTGTCACAGCTAAGGGGCACTAAGGAGACAATGACTAAGTGTATTCCTGGACGGAATCCTAGGACAGAAAAAGCATATTAGATAAAAAAGAAAATCTGAATAAAGTATGGGCTGTAGCTATAAAAAAAACCTATCAATACTGGCTCATTAATTGAGACAAATGCACCCCACTAACCTAAGATGATAGGGAAACTAGGTGTAGGGTGCACTGGAATGCTATACTGATGATTTTTCTATAAATCTAAAACTATTCTAAAATTAAGCCTTTTGTTAAAGCAAAAATTGCAGTCGTTATTACGCGTTTAACAATATGTTAAATGCAGTACGTTTTCTGAGCGAGCAAAATTCCTGAATTATAATGAAGGCACATAAATTCACATATGTTTTTTATTTTAAAAATCATTTTAGGCACCCATTACATATAGAAAAAGAGATCCTGGTATTATGTCTGACTTTCCTAATTTTATATAAATCAAATCACTGACTTTTGCCTCTCACCTCTCCTAATGTATAACAGATTCCTAATGGGGGTCGGCCTCCATTCCTTTCCGGATGTAGAAGTGGCATAAGTCATGCATATGGGAAACGTCACACTGTCTCAGTGCTGTCAGAAACATGCTGAAAATGAAGTGCATGGTGATGCCATGACTTTTACGGCACTCGAAGGGGTCTGTCGGCTTAGTGACCAATTCCAAGGCTACTGGGAATAGGAGGGGGGCGTCCATGAGACCACAGGAGGGGAAGCCCCACAGTAAAAGATCGTGCTTCTTTTCTTTTACGGAACCATCGCACCGGCGCCCGGAATTCATCTGAACAAGCCAGCTTTGAAAACACAAACAAGCTGGCAAAAGAGGTGTTTGTCGCCACCCGGCTGGCAGCCCCCCTACTCACTCTGAAGGGCCGGGAGCCCATTCCCGATCACTGTGGAGCATCAGGGGTCCTGCCATGGGGCCGCGTGTCCACCTCCTGTCGAATAAAAAAGAAAACTGGGTTTAGTCAGGGGACACTTTCACGTGAAAGGATGAGTGCACAAAGGACGGGACGCTGCAAGAGAGAACGCTGTGGCCGCAGGTCTGCAAGCATCTGACGGGTTAGGCACCAACGTTCCCTTCTGGGAACTGGGAAGCGGGATGGATGAAAGGGGGGCATGACGGGACAGCAGCCAGAGAATGTTCGACCCTGAGGCCAGCCTGTGGTTTAGTCAGGGGACACTTTCACGTGAAAGGATGACTGCACAAAGGACGGGATGCTGCAAGAGAGAGCGCTGTGGCCGCAGGTCTGCAAGCACCTGAAGGGTTAGGCACCAACGTTCCCTTCTTTTACAAAGAGGAGAAAACAAAGCCTGGACGAACTGGGAAGCGGGATGGATGAAAGCGGGGCATGACGGGATAGCTGTCAGAGAATGTTCGACCCTGAGGCCAGCCTGCTCTCGGGAGGAGCCGTGTGCTGGCAGGCTGAGGGTGGCCCACCACTCAGAGGCCTGGAGGAAGGACAGAAGCTAATCAAAGTGTGGTTAACAAGCACTCTGCTCCAACTGATCAGTGAGGACAAGCAGTCCAGCCAATCGCCGATAAGGCAAAGGAGGGAATCTGGAGTCTGTGATTGGCCTCTCACAGGTGAACCAGGAGGCACCGATGGCACACCTAAGTCCCACGGGAAAGGTGACTCTGCGGTGAGCTGTCTTCTGGTACACAAAAGGGTGCGGGTAGTTCCTTTAACCTTCACTGTTTTCCAGGGCACAGGGCTCAGGTAAGATTCAAGGAGGTCACCACTCAACTGGGGATGATCACTGTGCTAATAGTTATCTACGATCCTAATATTTCTAGAATGCTTTCAAAGTGCCAGGTGTGCAGCCAACGCTCCACATGCATGTGCCACTCTCACTTACCTGTGAAATCCTCGAGGGCAGAGGTTCAGTGTGTCTTCTTTGGAGCTGTGGAGTCGGAATCCACCCGTCTGCTGAGCTGGCCTCGAGGGCGAGCCTTCGGCCTGCAAATAAGACACAGTAATCCGCACCTCACAGGGCCGCTGCGAGAATTAAGTAACACTGAGCGGCCCCCGGCCCAGACCAGTGACAAAGACCCTCGCCTTGACCTAACCCTCGTCAGGCTCTTCTGCTCAGTTCCAAGGGCCGTGCAGGGCTCAGGCGGCCAAGTCCCACCCCCACCCTT